TGAAAAGAAAACAACTCCGTCCACCAGTATTTATTAGGGCCACCTTTGACTTTATAGATGAGGAAAAAGACCCAAAGAGGGAAAGTGACTTATTACAAGTGTAAGACCTGGTAATGAACCCAGCAGGGCTTCAAACCTAGACAAGCTGAAGCAATGGCGCCAGCGGAAAAAGCACCGAATTCAGCCACAGGGCATTTGTTCAAAGCCTGGCTTTGCCACTCACTACCTGTATAACTTTGAGCAAATAACTTAACCCCTTAAGACCTCACTTCCCTTATCTTTAAAATGAGAGAGTTCAACTAGATGACCTCTAAGGTCCCTTCCAATTCTATAATCTCTGTAGGAGACCAAGGTCTTCTGCTTCCAAATGCTATGTTTTCAAAATTCTTTTTACAGTATCCCTCCTATCTTAAACAATATTTAATATAATGGACCCAAAGAATAAATAGTTGAAAAACTGACAAATTTCATTTAGGATCTAGGTCACATTGAATAATATGTGAGTACTAAGAGTAACAAAGACAACCCATAAAAAAGACTTTTGCTTTCAAGACTCATGGACATTTTAAAGACAGACACTAGACCTCTGTATGTATAGCTTACAACTGCCTTCTTTATTTATCCTAAAAGGATCATTCACCCAAGAGGCAATGAATTAAGGCTACAGTTTCTGCTCTTCTTTCATACCGCCTTCTGGCTAAACTAACAGAAGAAGCAAGGAAACTATCTCAAAGCTAGACTCTTCCCTTATATGGAAGAATCAAAGTGAAGCAGGACTGGAAAAGGTGTGTAGCATGTAGTCTGGAAAATAATTTTTATGTGTTTTTCTTTCCAGGCTTGCAATTCAATATTTCCAGCAATTTCTATCATAAAAGAGGCCTTTAGAGGTGTACTTAACAATTTATATGCTTCACCTCGTACCACACAAGCACAAGATATACAGTAGAAAGAATCCTGGCTTTGGAATCTGATGACTGTCTGCCTACTTATCTGTGTGCCCCTGGGCAAATCACTCCCCCGCCCCCCCCAGCCACAGTTTCTTCATCTGTAAAATGGAATTGTTCCAAGGACTAGATGACCTCTAGGGTCCCTTCCACTTCTGAACCAAGATCTATGAACCTACAAAAAACAGTGAACAAAAATCTCTCAAGGTGGTTTCTTAATAGAGAAAAAAAAAAGCTTTATGTTAAAAAATATTTTCTGGGATCCAAATTATCTACGTCACAGCTCTCTTTTCTACCCAAATAAATCATTCCATGGTTGAGATCAGCTATAATCAACCTAAAGACGATCTTAATAAAATATTAAGGAAAAACAGAGCCAGGGTGGGATTACCTTTATCTTTAAATCACAGGTCCAGTATTTTAAATAACCAAATGGACTACCATAGAATCACAGATTTACAGGTGAAAGAGGCCTTACAGAAGACAGTTCCAACTCCCTTATTTCACAGATAAGGACACAGAAGCTCAGGGAGCCTCACTTGCTCATAGACACAAGTATGTCAAAAGTAGACCTTGAATCAGGTCTTTCTTTTAGATTCCAAGTCCAATATTCTAACCACTAAATCATGCTGCCATACTCAGAAATTTTATGTTATAAACTGAGGAATTTTCCATTTCTTTACTCAAGAATGAGACTTCATTTTCACCTTTTTTTTTGTTTTTATTTTTGGTGAGGCAATCGAGATTAAGTCACACAGCCCAGGCTCACACAGCTAGTGAGTATCATGTGTCTGAGGCAAGATTTGAACTCAGGCCCTCCTGACTCCAGGGCTGGTGCTCTTAGATGCCCCCATTTTCATCCTTTTCACAGAGCTTCTTTAGATGAACAATTTATAATCCTGAGATTGTTGTCTGTCCTCTGTTTCAGAAGAGGACCAATGACATCACAGGGTGATGTCTTGACTCAAGAGTGAATTGGATTTAAGTGAGGTAGAATTACACAGAGCTGTCAGCCTCACTCTCTCTTTCAGTCATTGAAGTCCAGTGGTAAGAGAAGTCAAGACAACTGGCGATGCCCTGGGATGCAGTGGATGACCTTGGCTGCTTCTATACCTGACTAAGATCTAAGCCCTCCACAATGCCTGGTTCCATTGGCCACGAAGGCAGTGGAATAAGTTGTTCTTATCCTCTCATTAGGCCATGGGAAGTCTTCCCAAGACTGGGGTAGACACCCCCTCAACTCACCGATGGGTTTAAGGCCCATCAATTAGCCCTGAGATATGAAAGGTCCAAAAGGAGTCCTCAGCATCACACAGGTTGGGAAGGTTCCTCTGCCTCCCTGAGGACCCCCACCACAGATCCCAAGACTTTAGAGATTACCTAATCCAACTCTTTCATATTTACAGATGATGAAACCAAGGCAAGTGAAATAACCTGCACCAAGTCACACATCTAGGAGTAGAGCCCAGGTCCCAGATACCAAATCCATTTCTCTTTTGACCAATGCCACACTGATCCCTCGTTTAACTATGAGACTTCAAGCAACTACTATGTCACAAAATACTAACAACTGCCTGAGCATCAGCACCTTCTCCACAACGTCCATGCATAACAGATCAAGAGTAACAAGACAGCCCCTCCTAGACTTAACTTGCTCACACATTTAAATGAGATTGCAAGAAAATGAGGAAGTCTTGGTTTCAGCCATTTTCAAAGTGTGGTCTAGGGGGTCCAAAACTATTTGCATAATAATACTAAGATGTTTTAATTTCTAATATGGTGACTACAGATAAGGGACAGCTAGAGTGCCAGGCCTACAGTCAGGAAGACCCTAGCTCAAATATGACCTCAGACACTTACTAGCTGTGTGACCCTGGGCAAGTCACTTAACCCTGTTTGCTTCAGTTTCCTCATCTGTAAAATAAGCTGGAGATAGAAATGGCAAAACACTCAGTATCCACAAGAAAACCCCAAGAAGTCACAAAGAGTAGACAGAACTTAACAACAACAACAAAATATCAAGGTATAACCCACATAAACAACAGTCCCTTGGTGAAGGAAGGGCTCCTCGGTAATTATTTAAAGTGTAAAAGGATCCTGAGATGAAAAAGTCTGAGAACCACTGGGATTCTAAGCAGTCCATCTTCACCCTGGCCAGTATAAGGACCAGATGAAGGAAGCCATAACTTTCTCATAACATAGGAGTGAACAACAATGCCAGAATGCTTTGCTGGCATCATGAATTACTACCTCAGATGATAGCTGGTGTTAAGAAGGGAAGGCTCATCACACTTGAGGCAGAAGGGGATGTGAGAAAGAGAAGAAAGCTTTTTATAGTATATCCAACTGAAAAAGCTCTTCTAACACCATTATGTATACAAACATGTCACAGCAGACAATTCATGAAATCAGCTCTCTTAACCTTATACTTCTCATCCTAACAAATTCTAAATGAGCACTTCCACTTAGATATTAAGTATTCTGATGTTTCTCGATAAAACACAGCTAGATGTGATGGAAAGAGCACCAGACATAGGAGTTGAGAAACTGAAGACCTAATCCAGCTCACTCCCTCTGTTACCTAGATGGTTGGTGTCTAAGCTCTAATAACCTACCTCTAGTCTAGCTCAAAGAATCTAAGAAAGGAAGTTCCTTCTCTTCTCCAGGCTTGCTTTTCCACATTTTTAAAATGAAAGGGTGTAGTACTGGAAAGAGTTCTGGACTTGAAATCAGACGACCTGCTTTGAAATCCTGACTTACTACCTGTGTCTTTGGGTAAGTGACTTCCCCTCTCCCAGGGGCTCATTTTCCTTATCTGCCAACCAAGGGGTTAGAACTCAATGTTCTCTAAGGTTCCTTCCCAGCTCTGACAGTGCTACCTTCTGAGGTCCATACTGACATTCTACGTACTAAATATGACTTTACAGTATGCAGAGAGAAAAGGGGGGGAAGGAAAAAGAGGAAAGGTGGGGAGAGAGAAGAAAACCAGTTGCTGTGCCAATTGATAGCTTCTGCACTTTACCCCATGCCAAAATAGTTTAGAGGCATAAGTGCAGCAGTAAATAGAGTACTGGACTTGGAGTCAGGAAGATCTGAGTTCAAATCCAGCCTCAGACACTTATTAGTTGCATAACCTCAAATTCAGTCTCAGACACTTCTTAGCTATTTAACACGTCTGCTTCAGTTTCCCCATTTGTAAAATAGGAATAATAGCATCTACCTCCCAGGGTTGTTATGAGGACCAAATGAGGTAACAATTGTAAAGTGCTCAGCACAGTGCCTGGCACATTTGTGTTGTTCAGTTGTGTCCGATTCTTCTTCGACCCCTCCTACCCTATCATACCAATACTGGCCATGGGGTTTTCTTGGCAAAGATACTAGAGTGGCTTGCCACTTCCTTCTCCAATGGACTAAGGAACAGAGGTTAAGTAACTTGCCCAGAATCACATTAACTATTCAGCATCTGAAGCCAAATTTGAACTCGGGTCTTCCTGACTCCAAGCCCAAGGCTTTATCCACTTAGCTAGCTGCCTCACCTGGCACACAGTAAGTGCTATATAAATGTTAGCTATTATTATTATATAAAATAATATGAATAAAGCATTTTGCAAACCTTAAATCTCCAAGTAAATGCTAGCTATTATTATTACTAAATGAGATAATGTTAATAAAGTCCTTTGCAAACCTTAAAGCTCTAAATCTCTAAATAAATGCTAGCTATTATTACTAAATGAGATGATATGAATGAAGCCCTTTGTAAACGGTCAAGTTCTATATAAATGTTAGCTCTGCTGGTGATGAATAGAAGCGCTCTGGCCCCTAGGTGAGCAGCATTACCCACAGGGCGAACTTAAAGCGGTGTTGAAAGAGCCAATCAAGGGATGTCTGTCCGGTGGTAAAGGTCGGTCACTCTTGAGAACGGGACTTAAGACGCCCTCCAGTGCTCACTCCCCCGCCCCTCACCCAAACACGCGCAATTCCCGAAAACAGAGGCGCTTCCAGAACGCCCCTTTCCCCTCCTTTCCCCGGGCTTCCTGGAGCCCTCAGGGCGCGCACCTTTCCTCCACTGTCACTCCGCTCGGTCTCGGTGCTCGAGGCCGGCTCGCCCGGGAGCGCCCGCGCTGCCGGAGCCGCCGCCGCCGCCGCCGCTGCTCCCGCTCCCAAAAGCAGCCGGGCCGGTGAAGGGGGTGGGGGGAAGCCCGCGCGGCCGGCAAGGTGTGGAGCCACCGCGGCAGAGGGAGCAGCCCAGAGCGCGCGGGGTTCGGGCCCGGCCGGAGATTTCCTTTAAAGGCGCCCGCCCCCGCCCCGACTGGGGGCAGGCAGGCAGCCAGTCCGGCTCTCGCACAGCCGGAGGGCCGGCCGGGCTCCCGGGCCCCGCCCCCAGAAGACTGGCCCCGCCCACCCCTCCGAGCCGGAGCGCCCTGCCGAGTCTGGGCGGGGAACTTGTGTGTGTGGCAGGGGGCGGGAGCGGGGGCGGGGGGGTGAGGGAGAGTGGCACCTTCACGTCTGGCTACCACAGCCCCGCCGAGCGTGGATGCCCGGGGGCGGGAGCTGCCGAGAGACGTGCGGAAGGACGGATGGCCGAGACAGCCAATGAACCTGCTCCGTGCTCCGCTACCGCCCCCCTTCTTCTCCTCCCTTCCCGTTCCTCCCTCCTCTTCTGAATCGCCCTCTCCCGGCTTTGTGCTCGTATCTCCCCAGACCTGCATCCTTTCTCCCCTGCCCCCTTCGCCCAGCGGAGTAAATCTCTTCTTTAAGACTTAATGCTTACAACTAATCAAATAACAGACAAAATGAATATGGAATAAAATTTGAAAACAAATAAAATAAAACTATAAAATCCAAATTACCTTTTATAAGTAAAAAAAAAAGATCAAGACCATAGATCCCAGATTTAGAGAAAGAAGGAGCCGTGGAGAACGAATAGTACAACATCTACCTTATTTTACAGATAAGCAAAGAGCACACAGAGGCCATTTGTCTAAGGTCACACAGGTTGCAAGTGGCAAAGCTGGGATTACTACCAGTTCCTCAGACAGCAGAGTCAGGGCTCTTTCCAGTGCCATAAAGATCATAGGACGGAGAGCTTGAAGGGACTCATAGAATATAAGAGCTATGTCTTGGGGACTGTTTCTCCTGGGACAAGCACTGCAATCCCCGATAGTTAAGAAAAACACCCTTAGCTCTGGGGAAAGACAGTGACTTTAGGAAACCAAGCTGCTGATGCAGAGGTTTCCTCATCCTCTATCCCATTAAATAACTTTTTATTAGAAGGAGACGAGGGACAGCTTGGTACATTCAAGCATTCCCTGGCTCTCTCACAGGCACTGAGATGCTGTACTCCCCTGCCTTTTTCCTCAAATGCCTCCATTTCCTCCTTGTAAAACGGGCATAATAATAGTACCTACCTCCCATGAGTTTTTGAGGATAAAATGAACCGAATACCTATAAAGCCCTTGAGGAGCACCGAAGAATTCCTAGACATTTCTAGTCCCTGATTCCTGCAGGGGGCTGGGATACCTGAAGTGCTACCCCAGTGTAGGGTCTTCCACCTCTCTACCCGCTATACTTTCAACCTGACAATCTTTCCCAAGCCCTAGGGGAACAAAATGTATTTGGGGAATGGCCAAACAAGACATGGTACATGAATGTAATGGAATATTACTGTACCATAAGAAATTACACATATGAAAAATACAGAGAAGCATAGGGAGACCAACAAATTGATGTAGAATGAAATAAGCAGAACCAGGAAAACAAAGCAACCAGTGTCTGCAGTAATGTAGATGGAAAGAACAGTCTCAAACCTGGCCTGAAGGTTCTGTGACTAATGACCTAGCTTGTACTTCAGATAAACTCTGAGAAAGTTCAACTGCTTTCTTTGCAGAGACTGAGAACTACGTGTGGAATAGCGTAAATCATTGTCTCGCTTTACTGACGTGTTTGTTGGCTTCGTTTCCCACCCCTCCCCACCCCCACCCCCCACCCCCCCAGTTAATTTATTTTTTTTAAGGAATCGCTCTTTTGGTAGTGGCAGTAGAAGGGCTACATTTGGAAATTAAAGTAATTAAGGTAAAAATAGAAGATACCAATAATTTTTTTTAAAGAAAAGCAAAGGATAGTAATATTTCAGGGGAAAGAAAAGGTCCCTGGAATCAGGGTGGCTGAGATATATATGCCTAGAGAGACAACTTTCTGCCTAGAGGAAAAGGCAGAAGTGACGGAAGGTTCAGAGGGTAAAATGGATTGACTTGACAGGTTGACCATGCCCCTAGATGTCCTTAAAAATCTAGCTTTTGAAACTGCAGTCAGTCAAGGCTAAAAGTAGCCTTGTAGAGAGTAATCCTTGTGCCTAGTAAGAGGCGGGCTGGGCAACAGAAACCGGAAGGAGATTTCCTCTGTCTACCTGTCCCCCATTCCTATTAGTTTTGCTTTTCAACCCAACTACTCAATTGGTTCAAGACACCACATCCTGCCAGGATCAGTTCACGGGAGTTCAAGGCACAGTTGAGATGCATGCAGCAGGAAGCAGAGACACACACTCTCTATGGAGACAAACATGTAGAGGATAAAACCTTGAGGCAGGAAGCTGCTTCCTGGAGTTGGACTTCTGCTAGCGAAGAAGAGAACCAACTATGACCTCCAAAGAGACCAGCCCTGGCCATAGAGATGAGCTGAGTGACCTACCCGGCAGAGAGGCTGCACTCAGGGGGCTACAGCCCGGCGACTCTAAAAGGAAAGAAAGGACACTGAGGCCTTGGAGTTAGTGGCCTTGTCCTCCTGTGTTCCCCACATATTTGCCTCACTGAGATTGTATTCTAGGTCTGTACCCACTTTTCCCATAAACACTGAGTATATTTATGAGACAATGTGCCCCAGGTTTATTGGGCGGAATGTTTTATAGCTATGTAGTTCTTATAGTTTATATATAATTCTATAATTTATAGTTCTTTCCATCTGTTGTTGTTCAGTTTTTTCAGTCGTGCCTGACTCTTCATGACAGCATTTGGGGTTTTCTTGGCAAAGATACTGGAATGGTTTGCGATTTCTTTCTCCAGCTCATTTTACTGTTGAGGAAACTGAGGCAAACAGGGTTACATGACTTGCCCAGGGTCACACAGCTAAAAATTGTCTGAGGCCAGATTTGAACACTGAAAGATGAGTCATCCTGACTCTAGGCCCAGCACTCTATCCATTTCACCACCCAGCTGCTAATGCCACCTAAGTGAACAGCCATTGCTTGAGCTAATTGTTTCTACTGGATGATAGTAAAGGTTAGTGAACTGGTAGAGGCTCATGAGTTATGGACCTAAGAGTTCACATACACAAAGTATACCCAGCACCTAGAAATGGTCACCTCTCTGGGGACCAGATGGGAAACCTGTGGGTAGCAAGTGGGTGGAACAGAGCAGAAGGAGTGCTATATGCAAAAACCTTGTTTTGGCTTTCGATCAACATTGTGCTAGGCAAGGAGAATACAAAGCTGAAAGTATGTCTTGGCCTTCAATGAACTTATATTCTATCAGAGAAAACAAGGTATAAGCATATAAGTAAATACAAAGTAAGGGGAGGTGGTACTTGCAGATGGGGAGGTAAAAGGCCTCATGTCTTGAGGTGGGTTTAAATTCAGCTTTAAAGGTAGCCAATGATTCTAAAAGGCTGAGGTGAAAAGATTGTTTCTAGCTTGGGGAACCTCCTGTTCAAAGACGAGGAAACATAATTTTTATTTACAACATGACTAATGTGAAAATATGTTTAATAGGAATGTAAATGTATAGCCTATATCAGATTGTTTGCCGTCTTGGGGAGGGTGGGGGGAAAGGGGGAAAAAATTTTGAGAAAAACTCAAAAGCATATGGAAGTGATTATTGATAAATCAAAATAAATTCATAAAAAAAAGAATTTAACACTAAAAAAAAAAGATCAGGAAACAGATAATGGAATGTTGTATGCCAGGATGGGCAAGTAGTCCAGTCTGATTGAGTTTTTAAAGGACAGGAATGAATAATAGGCCTGGGAAGATAGGCTAGAGCTAGATAGAGGGGCCCGAGATGCCAAACAGAGGAACTTGTAGTTTATCCTAGAGTTCACAGGAGTCCATTAGAGCTTTTTGAACAGGAGAGTGACAAGTTCCTATTTGTATTTTAGGAATATCAATTTGGTAGCTGTGTGAAGAGAGGAGAATAGAGATAAGAGATAAGTGAGATAAGAGATAAGACAGACTTGAAGCTATTGTTTAATGAGACTATTATAATTGTCTACTAAGGGGTGATGAGAGACTGAATTATGGAGATAGCTGAGTTAGAAGAGAGAAAGGATGGATGAGAGATCTTATAGAGGTAGTAGAGATACTTGGCAACTGATTAGATATGGCAGAGTGGAAGGGGGATGGGAGTAGGGGTGCTGAGAGGGAAAAGTCAAGGATGACCATAAGGTTATGAAGAAATAGGAAAATTAGGAGGGAATGTGAACCTAGGGAGAAAACAATGAGTTTTGTTTGGGATATATTGAATGAGATGCTTCTAGGATCCTATCTATGGGACTGGAAAGAACCTCAAAGGTCCTGTACATTTTACAGATAAGAAAACCAAGGCCCAACAAGGTTAAGTGACTTATCCAAGGTCACACAGATAGTAAGCCTCAGGGGAAGGATTTGAACCCTTATCTTCTGACTCTAGAGGCAGTACACTTTTCATTGTACCATGGATATCCAGGAGGAGATAGCCATCAAGCACTTAGTGATCTGGGACCTGCCTATGGTCACACAGGTAGTAAATACAAGAACTTGGATTTGAACATGTGCCCTTTGACCTTAAATTTACTCTGGGCCTCTGCCTTACTTTGTTGACTCTTGGCCAACTAGTTTTATATCACTGAAGTTTACCGAGGCCTATAGTACAAAGATAAGTAAGCCACCCTGAGCACTTGTCTTGGGAGGAACTGTACTTACACGGTCTCACTTAGAACACCTCCCTCCTTCAGGATAAGGGGGACCTTTGAAAGCAGCACTGTTCAGAGATTTTTCTAACACCTGTATTTCTAACTGCAAAAAAAAAAAAACCAGAAGCAATCTAGGTATCCAAAGAGAGGGCAAAGAAGTAACTCACGTAATAAAAGATGATGATGTCTTTT